GGCATCGCGCTGTCTGCCTCCTCCGTTCAGAACGGGTAGCGACTCCGTTGCTGACTGGTATCTTCTTCGTTTTCGTCAGCCGTCGTTGTGCTGCCACGCCCCCGCCTGGCAGAGGGCAATGAACAGGTTCTGATCACCGACTTTTCGCAGTCTGCCTCAGTCCCCCTACAGCCTGCGCGGCTCTTGGGAACCCGGGCGACGACCGAGCCGGTATAATTTTCGATGGCGTCAATGCCATGAGTGGCAGGTGGCTGAACTTTACGGAGACCTGCCACGATCTCCAACCCTCCTCCTTTCTCATCCGGGCTTGGGACCGGCCATGGCGGAGCACGAAAACGTATTCATGCTTTAAATGACCATTGGACAGCACACATATGACAAAAATAACTGATTTGACGTTGAACATTCCACTTACATTCAGTTAACGTAAACATTGGTTTATGTAAGCATCAGACTGACAGTAAATCACAATAGGAAAGATGATTCATATAAATTTACCGAAAACTTGCTTGCTTGCAAATATTTATTTAAGCTGAGCTGGTCTCTGCATACTTAAGTTTGCTTAACATACTTTTTATCATCACCTTGATGATGGCCAATGCAGCATCGGTCGAAGCGTGTAGTTAAGTGCTGGTTAAGTAAACGACCGTATCACGTGTTTTACTACTTAATTTAAGAAGGACCATATGCATATAAATTCAGGCCTAATCGAGGTAATGACTACTAGTTTCAATCCCCTGCTCAAGAGAAAATGATATACTCACTATCTTTGCTTTGTGGAATTGGCGGTATTGTTAATTTCATTACTCTGCGACTATGCCCACGGCATTGTTTCGCTAAGTAGATATACCTTAAAGAATGAGAATAGCTCTCTTTGGTCGACTGCCATTGGCCCATCGTTTGAACCTTCATGGCCGACCTTGACACCGCTGTAGCGGTTATAGAATAGACCACCTTAACTTGGTTCTGAATGCGATTCTGTGCGTTACTGGCTTCCCATAATATGAATCTCTACATGGACAGCTAGTAACTCTGGCAGATGTGAAAAATTTTCAGGCGCATGTGTCTAGTTTTGGTCTTACTTGATGAAGTTTATATTCTGAAGACACTTCAAGAATATCCTCGTTAAATTTCAGTTTATTAAAAGTATCTTGGACTGTCAGTCAACACTGTTTAGCAGTAGCTTTAGGATTGATTGATAAAAACACATCCGCATATATCCTTCATTACTGGACTCGAAATCTGTTATAGCGAAAGAACAATGAATGTAAAGACCAAATTGGGCAGAGGACTAAGTGAACAGATCAAGTAGAAAATTTGCAATGATGGCAATCTTACACCTCCTCACGCACAGAGAACGTTTCATACGAATGAGTGACTGAAGATGCTTGAAAAGCTAATTCTATGGAATTGAAGGAGTTAGAAAGAATAATACGATCACTGTCTCTATCTGCCATATCGGCTAACATTTGCTGACTAAACCCAGTTTCGTGGAAAGGCCCAATTGAAATTTTAAGCTCACTCACAATGCGGATAAACTGGAAGTCAAGTCAAAGGCATTTGTCGATGTTATTGACAACGCACTGCCTAAAGAACGTCGAGTGCTCTTGGCCGTCAGGGTAATTGAAATTTATTGTTCAGCTGCGAGCAACGCTTCAAGCATGACAAGATAAGTTAACTGAGTATGCACACTCGATGGAAACCTCGTTTCAATTATAAATCAGTCAAGATAATGGAATTTTATGAAATAAAAGAAACATCCACTAGCACGAGTTAGATTAGTTAAAAATAAAAAGGATATATTTTAGCGAGATTCGAAGCAAAGGCCTATGGCGACACTAAGCCCATCTTTCTGGCTTGTAGGATAAGCCACGCGTTTTACGATGATTGCGAAGTTTAAGTTCCATTTAATTATTGAATCGCTTTACAACGCCACGCTGCAAATAGTAACTGTTGACTGTGTTAGTATGTCAGAGTACAGACCTGCTGCATACCGTTTCATTGCCTTGGCAGCAGCTACTGCAATGGAAGAAATACACTTCCGAACAAATATTATGTAAATGATTAGTATTAATGTAACTGCATGCATAATGTAACAGTATATCATTGTCATACGTGTGCAAGCAAAAGCTTAACGCAATGAATCACTGGACTTCACGAATGTTGCACTACCTCATTGCTTTTAGTTGCCCATGAAATATTTATGTTTGCCACGGCTATATGGCATTTGACAGTTTCAGTGCTAAATAAATGCATTTCGAGTCATGGATTTAGTCCGGAGGCAGCGATGTCTTTCTCATCATCAGCGGTACCAAAAGAGCCGGTACTCTATTCATGCTTTCGTGAAGCAGCCAAGGCATGGGTTATACAATGACGTGCACCAACAAGGGCACAACGCCCTAAATCTGTTGCCCTAACATTTGATTACTAATGGTGCTTAGACACTACAGACAATGGCTTAAGTGGTATTAAAGTGACTGTGAAATGCATCGTGAATTGGGTTGATTGGAGAGGTTAAACACTTGTTAAAATATTCCAGCGCCAAGACTGATATCATTGACCATCATGCGTTACATACCATGCAAAACAAATTTGATGAGCATCATTATTCTGACTGAGCATTGTTGGTTTATAATGTAGTTGGCCAAACGTTCGAGCGAAAACATTGGTAGAAATGGTTTATATTAATTTCTGAAGAAAGCATTATGAAAGTATTTCATACATCTATCTTCCAAAGAGAAAGAGGATGATGTTCCGCACGGATGACGCATCGAACTGTAAACTGGATCCCGATTTATCTTGCAAATACTGCCACTTTTGTCACCCAGGTCGACTCGCCAGCATCCGCCGTTATTCTCCATTCCGAAGTCGACTTCAATGTCTCAGCCTGTTACTCAGATAATTGATCAATTATTACGGGTGATCGTTACCATTGTTCATTGCGCACCTGAGTGAAGGCATTTTGGTGAATGAGAGGCTGGTTGTAGACCTCGCTAAAGTGAAACGAAATCAACTGTCTTGTTCAACTGAGAAAGTCCACGACCAGTGTACGCTCAGGTGTCAATGACCAATGGACGATATCACCATCACGTGATCTATCGAGAGGTGTAAGATTGCCACACTACTGCAACAACCCTGTGAAAACCAGGTAATGGCTTGCACTCGAGTCTTTCTCCGACGGTTCTGATCTTCCCTCATGAACTTTACATCATACCGATATCGTACGCCAGGGCAGAGTGCTCCGTAGACTCGTCTATTCGGAGGTTCGTTTGGGCGAACCAAACGATCGCCTGACAGACAGACGTCGAGGTGAATCGGCCCGGTACTCTGGTGTCGCCTTTTCTCGACTCTAATTTGAAAACCGACATCGCAAAACTGCTTCTGTCCTCCGGTTGCTGTAATTGCACCAGTGAGGATAATGAAATTCTCACATGGACAGAACCGACGGACGAACGCTTGTGGGATGCTTCGACGATGAAAGCGACAGGGGCATTTTCGACGACAGTGTTTTTGAGCTAATCGACGACCAACCGCCGCTTTTCCCGGTGGAGCCGACGGTGGCCAACCGACGAACTTGCCGCATGAAAGCATATCCGGCAGAACGTTCATCAACGCTGAATGGCATCTTTAGCTGATTGCATTTTAGCCAGCGGCTTGCTTTGACACGGGGGAATTCAAACAGCCCAGACCATTTCGGCCACTTCAGCGCGTTAACTCCGCGTCCGGACGGCAAAAACTTTTAGACGAGGAAATCGGTGATTTTGACTAACTAGCTCTTAAATGCAAGCTGCCAGATCTTTCGCAGGCCGTCTAACTCAACGGTCATCTGAGCAATCCGAGAACGTCACGAGTACGTCAAAATTTTCCTTAGCACGTCAGAAATTTCATTAACTCGGTGTTAATTAATTTATGCCACACTTTGGTTATATGGCATTGCACCCATCCCCGGGGCTTCTGAATTGGCGGAGGTCGCCGGCAAACAATAAGCAGGCAAGCCAGGTAGTGAATATGAACATTTCAGTCGTACAGCCACTCCCTGATAAGGCATTTGTCTGTTGAAATTATCCGTCATACTCTCAAACAAAAAGGTCAGTTAAGCGTTAAGGACGCCATGGTCAATGGCTGCTTAGGCCATGACAAACATAATTTTAACGGCTAACGGTGTGCCTTTGGGTGTGATTGTTAGTTGAATGTAACTATTTTTGTGAATTCACAATCACTAAGCATTCTAAGTGAAATCTTCAAACATTTTCTATTCTGTTTACATGAATGAACAAAAGTTTTATGAGGCTAGTCTTGACGGCAGTTCTTGCTCACTCTTACGACAAAATCTGAAGTTGAGTTGGTCTAAAATTGTGGTTGTGCTGAATATTATAGTGCCTTGTTTCTGAGTTATGTAAAGTCATTGAATCGCGTGATTAATTACTTCTGTTGATGGGTTGATTCCGGCGTTCGAAAATTTAAGCGGTCACTTTGATGTGCAGGCCAAGACTGAACAAAACTGAGATCCACACAGCTGAAAAGCACTTTTATAGAAACCTGGCAAACGTGAACCGCTGACATACTCACATACTCACACTTTATTTAAATAAGTTTTGGAAGAAAAACGAACCCGACTGTTGGACACTTGTTCAAAGATCTTCTCGCGTTCTTATAAGCGAAACTTGGTGAATACAATTTAAAAATCCGATAATGAGAATGAATCTAACCATCTGTTGAAAACCGCTTGACAATCATATTTCAAAAAAACTGCAGTAAGACACAGTGAGCGCCGTAGAA